AGCTTGATGAAGCCAGAATCACATCATTGAATAAATATATACTTATTCTAACACTTATACACATTTTTTCCTTTTCTTCTTCTTCTTTAAAAAAATCACTTCACATAGTTTTGCAGCAGAGCAGTTCAGACTGAGCTGTTTCACTATCAATAAAAGCACAAGATAAAAATAAAAAATCCCTCTTAAAGTGATTACAACCAGACTGTTGCAGTCGGTGATCAAACACTACAGGTTGCTGTGTTGATGTTCATTTTGAGAACTATGTTAATTTTGAGTAGACGATTATAAAGGATCATTATTAAATAACACAATCAAAGAGTAGATTAGGTTGCTGCTTATGCAATAATAGATCAGTAACAAAACCATATACATCAATCACATAGCTTTTTTTCAGTATTCCTCTGCCTTCTCGTCTCTGCTCAACATATCAACCAAGGCCACACAATACCACAGCACCCTGTCTGACTGAGCAGCATTTGCACCAGCATTTAAATTCCAATTTTCCTTTGGAGGGCTTTACCTCTCCACTAACTTGCATGAAACTTGCTCTTGTAAATTTTTGTGTCTCACTGACAGACAAACAAAGAAAATACAAGGAACAAGAAATATCATAACAGCAAAATAAAATGCAAGATTGATTACTTGGATTTTGGGAAACTTAGTGCTGCGCAAGCACTCAAATATGTGTGCGTGCATGTGTGCGTGCGTGTACAGTACTACATGCCTGCTGGAACTCACTGGCCCTGCGAATATTGAGACCTTTCATTGCCCCCAGTTCACATTTCCAGCCTTGGTTTGCCAACAGAAAGGGCCACATTTTCTAGACCGCTTCAACTCCCGCTTCTCGCCCTTTGCTATATTCAGCCACCAACCCCCTCTCTCCCTGCTGTCTATTCTGTGGGATGGTACAGGGGTCTCATGCGGGTGTGGAACAGTCCCCCTCCTTAGTGGAAGGGGAAAAGGTCCCAGAGACATAGCTGTTAATTCAATCAGGAGAGCGGTATGCTCAATTAGGCATCCATAAGGGCCTGGATGGGTCCGGGGGCCCTGCAGAGGGCAAGCAGCCCAGTCCCCAGGAGGTATTAATTGTGGATGACAGTGTGTAAACAGTGGGGTGAATAGACAGCGCAGGTGCGGGACACCCCATTCCAGACTCAATAGGCCTTTTCACACCCGTGGCTCTCTGTTGCCACTTTCTCTTTCACTCTCTCACTGCGTAAAAATCCCTCACATCTCTGATTAATGTCATAGATAATTTGGCTTTGTGGGCTTATTTATTTGTTGCTATGCTTTTCCATCACCAGACATGCTTCTACATCACTGTCAGTGTGTGTATGTTTGTGTGCAAGTGTGTACTTGAAGAGGGTAATAAGAAATGCTGGCCAGCCAAGGGCTATACACTCCTCGTTTTCAGGAGCTAGTGAAAATTGCGGCCAGTACATGTAAAATATATGGAATTTATGAAATGAAATCCAGATGACACTTTAAAAAGAGAAGGCTTTGTATCTGACCTTCGATTTTCCCCTTCAGCACACAAGCCGTCCGCTCCTCTCTGTCTTTCATTCAGTGCTTCAACCGTATTCTGCCTTTTGAAGTGCAATCACACACTCATCAAACAGATGCACTGCCTGAAAAAGTATTCAGACACTACATGTGGATGTAAAAGTAGCAGAAATACAAGTAATAGAACTACAACTGCAAGCACAGAATACTAATCTTGAAGTAATCTTCTTTTTTTAACATTTTAATAAATCTGAAATAACTGGTTTATTTTTACTGATACAGTGAAATACAAGCAAAGCTTTTCTAAAGCTGATTGCAGTGGAGGTACTATTAAAGCAATTGCTTTAATAGTACAAATAATAAACAAAGTCAAATAATATTCTCCAATGTAAAAAAAAAAAAAAAAGTATCGGTATGGAGGTGTGTGGGAAGTGAAGTAAACCTTCTGAGACCCCATGTCCTCACAGAGGAACGTAGGAGATACTAAAAATGAATGCCAAACAAGTAGTGAAGCAACATGGGAGTTGCAAATACTTTAATAATTTGAATAAGTTCAGCACTTGAAGAACCTCAGGGATGAAAAAAATCCTAAACCCAGAGACAGATTCGGTATATGGTTGCTGTATTGTTGGGTGACTGGTCGATAATTACAGTAGGCCTTTTCGGATTATCCTAAATTACTGGTAAATCAACTAATAATCAGCTTTTTATTGTTGTACAGGTGAGGGTGAAATATCGCTACAATAAACAAAAGGAGGAACTTTTTAAACACTGGAATAAAAGTCACAAATAGGTTTTCATGGATTTCGTTATTAGAAGAACAATGAGAATCTACTGAAACACACGACAAATGCAAATGCTGATTTTATTTAGACAAAAATGTAGTTATTTAGCATTAAACTGGAAAAATGAACGACAAGTAGCAGTTTTTGCCTCTCTTCAACTTGTTTTCCTCTCAGCATTTATCATACTACATCTGAACTGCATGTGCACCTAAACTGTACTTTTAGGCAACGTGACATCATTGCGGCACATCTGTGCTAAACCTGCTCTTCTCCCGAGGCCGTCAGATCTCTGGGTGGCCTCAGTGCTGCTCTGTCTGTTTCTGTGTCTGCACACACCCGCTAATTTTCGGCCGTATGTAGTTGGTGTAAGCTGGTGGGGGGACCGGCGGCTGGGGCATCTTTGGAAGGGCCACTGCAGTAATTGGGATGTACATTTTCTTTCAGCATGCCCATTCATTCCTCCTTTTGTTTTTGTTGTCAGAGGTTTTCTTTTATGTTCGGCCAAATGACAACAGAATTAAAGTGTCAAGCCATGCTTTCACTACAACGGCTTTGCAGCCCTGAAAACTTTGTCTTCATTGTTCAGGGTGGCGGGTTGAAGTGAGAGGGAAGAGCAGATATAAACTGATCTCGTTAACATTCCAAGAGACACTCCCGTTGACCCTCTCTGCTCCTCATCCTCACCTCCCACAGCATTACTCCACTCACACAAGGACATGAGTGGACCGGCTGGCACAGAGCGGGAGGGGTAGTTGGGTTAAGTCTCTGGGGTGGGAAACAACTTGGAATGAGGCGCATCCCTTCTCTCACAGCTCTGATAATGATACTACACGGACGCTTTGCTGAGTTTCTATGGTGGTCCGATAAGCAAGAATTCAGATAATTCACTATCTTGAGACCACTTAGGCCTCGGTTTTTCTCCCTTTTGTACAACTGCCCCATCCATTTTTATCTCTCCCATTTGGAGTGACCCTCCTCTGGCATCTTTTCTGCAAACAGTGCTTTACAGAAACTGGCCAGAGCACAGAGGAATAATTAATGCTGACCCTAATTGTGCCAATTCCAGAAGCTCAATAGCTCTAATTACAAGGCTCTTCTATGAGGCACTCAAAAAGCCGCTGAACTGTCAAAACCAACAATTAAAAAATATCTATAGGGACAAAGAGCGAGAGAAGGGGATTTGGGGTGGGGGTGGGGTTACCCGTTCCAGTAAAGGGTGACGGGACACCTGCACTAAACACTGCTTCTCTCTTCTTAATGGGCCTCACAATTTATCTGAAAGGAAAAGATGGAGAAATGGACAGCACGGAGGCGAGGAAGATGTGAGAGCCAGAAATTGAGAGGTTGCAGGCCGATTACAGTGTGGAAGCATGTTTTGTGAATGCACTAAGTGTGCTTTCCTGCTCAGGTTGGTGGAAAAGTACTGAGAATATTTATAGTTGTCAAAGCAACAATACTGCGATATTAAAGTGCTTCATAACAACCTTAAACCTTCCACTTAAGTGTTAAATGTGAAAAACCCAAACGTATGTATAAGTGACAAAAGGGTTGCAACAATGCAGAAATGTTGTCCCCACATTCATGTTGTGGTGCACAGCAAACCACTAATACAATATTAGAATTAATACATTCATTTCTGATTGTGGTAGAAGGTTGAAGCAGAGCTAGGTTAAACCTATACAGCATCACATATTAGATGCATTATATCAGTCTGGAAAGTAGTAGTAGTAAATCTTTTCTATAGAGCAGAAAATAAAAATGATCAAAAGGCACTTAGTTTTTAAGAAGTAAGAAGTTATTTTCTTTTGCACTGCAGTTTAAGACACATTGATTACTTCTTTGTTTTCATAGATTATTGTTTGTTATTTATCAAAATACTGATAACCCCATATTTTCTTCTGAATTTGAGTCTTACTGTAAATTAGTAAATTGCAGTTTTGACATTGTGAGTATTTGCAAATACATATGGTGTTAATATACATTAACTACTGAGGTTTTTGCAGATTATCATATAAGATGAAGAAATTCCAATGCTAGCCAAACGGCTCTAAGGTCAGCCAGTTTATTTTGAAAAAAATCCCCCAAACCAAATAGGTTCTCTACCAGAAAACCCCCATTTATTCTATGAAATGTGTTACATTATGACCATGAAATTTGGGATAAAGTGACACAAACAGTTGTTTTTTTGCTCTAACAACGAATCGTCTGCCAACTAAAACACACACACACACACACACACACACACACACACACACACACACAGCCAAATCTACAAACACAGACTGCCCCCCTGCAGTGCTTGTGACAGCTATTGACTTTACTCAATAGATGTTTTCCATTGTAACCCAAGTACGCAGGCTAAATGTCACGGCAGCAGGATACTAGGCTATTATAGAGCATTATATGTCTCAGAATGGGGATGAGAACCTAAAATTTGACCTCACAATTGCTCGGCCATTGTCTCTGCTCTCAAAGACTCATGATAATACACTGAGTGTTCCTGCAGCTGCTGCCTCTCCTGGTCCTATCTCCTAACTGACCGGAGCAGGTCTTTCTCCTCCGCGAACAGTTAATCTTGGGGTGAGGTGGGCGTGGCTTTCCCGCCACCGGCCGCTGCTATTGGGTCCTCCGAGTGCCAGCTAGAAACGACTGCTCCCTCCTTTGCTTTTAAATGAAGGTACAATGGATACAGGCGCGACTCAACCTGTGGAAGCCGCGATGAACAGCTGATCCTCCCGCAGTGGATAAAACCAATCACAATGGTGACGGCCAAGTCCTGATTCCCGATCATACGCGTGGCACTATGTGAATAGTTATTGGAGGAGTAGACACAGGAGAATTATTAACCGGAAATTAGGGTTAAGGAGTCTTTTTGGGGCGTACTAATATATATTTTTTTCGGTTTGGACCTGTCGATCATCAGTATTACAGACGGACACGCTGTGCGCTCAGACTACCTGCCGCTCTTCGCTCTGCGCTCACCGACGCTCAATTATGTTATTATCAAGTTTCCTCATTTTTACCGTCTCCTACTTTATGGCGCCTCTGTTCCTCTGTTACCTGCCTCAAGTGTCGGCACAGAAGCCTGGGTCACGGGTGAGTACATCCCTGTGGGTCTGGTGCCTCACACTTTCATGGAAGTAGCAGTTTGAAACACAATACTTGCATTAATTACGAAAGTAAAAGTGTGTCAAACGGATTAGATTCTACTTAAAATAGAACGAATGGGATAAATTACAGACTGCTGGTAAACCTGAAATATGCCGAGATATTTCTTTAATGCGCCTTTAGTAGATAAGATGTAACAGTTGATTCAAGATTTTTTTTTTTTAAACTTATGCTGAGTGGGTAAATTAGATGACTTTAAATCAAATGAGAAATTTGGCTTTTGGTGTTAAAGTTTCATCTGATTCACTGTTTAGAGAAGAACACTCCAAACCCAATCTCCATCTGGGCTTGTAAAGCTTAATCCCACCAATTTGCTGGTTTTACACTTTGAGTTTGGCCAAATCTAACTTGTAAAACATGAAATCGATGATAACTTACTGAGCTTACTCAACTTTTCCTTGGGCACAGCATCCCGGCTCCTGGACCTCTCCTTTTGCAGGAACAGATTTTTGTCACTGCCATGTCTCTCCATCGCTCTTTTTTTCTATCTTCAGTCTCTCACACACACTGCTTTGCTTGTTCAAGGTTCTTATTTCGCCCTGTCCAGGCACAGGGGGAAATAAGTGATGCGAAGTGAAGGGGAACACCATTGTTTCAGTGCACAGATGCACTGTAATATTTGTGGTCAGAGGCGAGGGGCTGACTCACAGGGGGTGAATATGTAATACTCTCACATACTGGAACTATTTCACAATATCTTTGAACCCCCCCACCCACCCCACCCATCCTCCATACACAGTGTGCTGTGGTCAAGATTGTTCTCTGGAAAGAGCCACAGTGAATTTTGCTTAATCACTTCTTTGTTGCTCCTTTTATAACTGTTTTCCTACTGTTCAAATAATGAGAGGATCAAGGTGGAGTGTGTGGCTTTCCTACAGTATAACTGGACGCAGTACTTATTACTTTGCATATTTTGGGGCCTGATTCAGGTGGCACCTCCTTATATAGCTACATCACTTACACGTGCTAGGGTGTTTAGAAAATCAAAACAAAGATGAGTTTTGAAATTACGATGGCTGATACTCTGAGCTGCCCTTTTATCGTGAAGTTCTTCCTATTGTAACTTTAGCTGAAAGATTTTGTGTACCTTGCCAGGCTGTGAAAGTCTATCAGTCTCAACTTTGGTAAACAGTTTCAAAACCACATTGAATAAACTCCAAAATACAGGGTGGCCAGTGTGAAAATGTGGTTTCTTGGTCCTCTGAAATTTGATTCTTTAGAGACAAAAGCTTTTCATAAAAACAGGGATAACACTGAAAATCTGAGCATCTCCATCAGCTTTATCCCATCAAATTAAACTCCCTCTGCATCCCACTTCATCCTCCTTCTGGAATGGATTAGGCCCCAAGGAGCAACAGTCAGCCTGCTGAAACCCCCACTCACTCCACAGTGATTACTTCTAACATTTCTCACAGCTGCTGTAATACCATAATTCACACCACCCACTTTCCACGTTGATATCAGGAGTGAACGGCTGAGCTAATTTCCCAGCATAGACCTGCTCCTTTCTCATTTCTCTTGAGGTTCCATGATGCAATAGCACAACAATCCTCAAGACTGAGGAACACGAGTAATTGAGAGACTAAAAAGCCTTTTTTCAATTTTGCAGTTCCTGCTGTCTGTGCAATTTGGAAGACCAACAGCTTCTTTATTCTTGTATGAGTCCTTCAATAGTTTAACAGTGAGTTGGTGGATAAACCGTTGGATGCTAAGGATGTGTGATGATCAGTTGTAATTAATTAGTGCAACATTGTTTATTCTACCAAATTTAAGCACAAACTATCTGAATTATTTAGATGGAAAAAAAAAACTGATAATGGACTTAAAAACAGCTTCTTATGAACGATGCTGCCTTTATAGAGAGACAGGATTAAGGTTCATAATGAGTTAGCCTTTTTTATGAGTGCAACAAGATATTTCATGTTTTTTAAAACCGTAAAACCAGGAATGATCAGTCTCGTGGTCTGCAGGGATCATTTCCTAAAACGTTTAAACTAAGAAATCAGTTTTCCCAGTGGGAGGAAATGCTTAGCTTTTATAGAGGCTTAGCTATGCAGCTTTAATCCATCTTATCAAATCAACCTGTTAGTCTCAGATTGCCCATAGGGTTGGGATGCTATGGGCAGTCTGCTTGCATAATTCGGTGACAGCATCAGTGAAGACTCTTAAAACTAAAACAAACACACAGGCCTAAGCAGCAAAGCTGCATACTTCAGCTTGGGAAAGCAGAGCTCTGGTTCAAAAGCAGGAAAGTCTTTTTATTAGTGTGAGGTAGATCACAGCAAACATGCAGGTGTGAGTGTGCTGATGCGTGCAGCGTATGGGTGCAGGTGCCTGTGTGGTGAGCCGTGGAGTCTTAATTATGCTTACAGTGTACAAAGGAATGGAGGTCAAGAACGGGCCTGTTTTAAGTGAAAGAAAAATTAAACATGAAAATAGAAGTGACTATACTTAAGTGCAGTATTTACTTAAAAATTGGCCAGTGTTTATGCTATGTTTAATTTTTTTCCAATTCAGTTGAATTAAGTTTGGAAAAAAATGAAGTTCACATCTGTTATCTGGAGGACATTAAAAAGAATATGGGGAAATTGAAGAGATTGGAAACTCCATCTGAGGCAGATTTAGCAAAAGCTGGTCCATGAGAGACGTTATTACTGAATGGTTCATATTTATAAGTATAAGTTTTTATCAGTTAACAGCAGTTTAACTTTTTCTTTAACTATCTGGCTTTAAATCTTATAATCCTAATCATAAAGAGAATATAGTCACGCATTTGGACCTTTTTTCATCTACAAGAACCAACCTAATGAAATAAAAATCTAAACACATTAAGACAATAAGTGAAGCTCACAAGAGACCATTTTACAAAAACAGATTCAAAATTGGATCCTATATTTCCTATAATGCAATTGCTAATATGATTACTCTCCCTTCTTGGGGAAAATTCACTTAGTTTTCAGCATTTTTGAGTCTGTAGTTCAAATCCAGATATTTAGTCAGACGAAGTCCCTGGGATAAAACGAGACAAGAACTTTGTGGTTAGGCTGAGCAGCCCATACCAGGACAAGTAAACTGGTCGAGAGCCCATTTTTTGTATCACTACTTTAACAAACAAGATATTTTGTTATATATACACGACAAAGTTGTCAGCAAGAAGTTTGATACCAGCAGAATCAGACAAAGATGAAAAAAGGCAACAAATGCAATTCTGTCATTATTCAGGACAGCTGAGAAGTCACTCGCTTTATCAAACCCGGCAGGTCTGATAAAGAGGTAAACGAGGTGAGGTGAATGCAGAATAGCCAATATGATAAGACCCGAGGCAAACAAACCATGTAAGCCTTATTAAGAAAGTACTTTTATGGGTCAAGCAATGAGGGAAATGTTGTCAAAAAGCAAACTTAACTATCCAACTGTATTATGGCCCATTTGTAATCTTTATGCCTTTTCATCAGTAAAATGCATTCACAGAATTGTGGATTCATTGAATTTAGTATATACACAACTTAAATATTTACAGGATTAAAAGAAGTTTATTTAGTTCTGCTTTTATTCTCTTAGAGTATAATAAATCTGTGCATAGTAACAATGAAAATTTGAATTTAATTGTCCCAAAATGTCAAAGGGAATAACAGAAAATTGCCTGAAGAAGTTGTCAATAGTAAATAAACATTGTGATAATTAGAACTGAAGAGACAACATCTGCATAACAAAGGCTATGAGTGGCAGATGGAGAAGCGAGAGAGATCAAGGCCAGAGTGTGAGGACTGTTCCTTAACCATAATGAACCACTGAGATGCATATGAAGAAGAGCTGTTGACCATAATCATGCAGATTTGCAGTGCACATTTCCTCATTTAGTCTTTATGAGGGGAAAAAAAGATTCCTGGCAAAGTGATAAGGTCATAGTTTGGTTTCACCGTCGTCTGTGAGGAGAAGTCATGAAGTACAAACCTTTTAGATTAACTTTGTACTGACTGTTCAACAGCAGTTTCTGATTAGGCAGCTAAAGGAAGAATCCCAGCACACAGTCATTGATGACGAAGCTTGTGGTTTGAGGTTCTTTTGTCGTATCGTAAAGTACATTTGCATGGTTATGCTAGTGTTAATCAAGGGTTAGAGGGGATCTAGGAGGTGGGGGAACCCTAGTGGTGGAAGAAAAACAACTCACCTTAAAATAAATGATTGCGTATTCTTTGTTGGCTCTGAGGTTTAAGGCTTGTGTGGGTTTACTTAATCTGCAGTCTATTAACAAATGCTACAAGGGGTATCAAAGTTACTCTCCAGCCTGGAGCAATAAAAGTGGAATTTGGCAAATGATACTTAAGAGCATCATCTTAAATTCAAATTGATGCCTGCTACCCTTTACCTAACCTACCAGTGAGTATGGAGACGTCAATCTACCTTGCACCAGGCCAAATCAGTCCCTTTTCTGTAAACTGTAGTTGTTTGAACTCTTGAGTATTCTTGCACAGCAACCATGCTACACTACAAGGACAACAGTACTTGAACAGATTTCTTATTCTTTAAAGTCAGGAGTTTTCAGTCCCATTGTCACAGGAGTATAAAATCAAGCACCTAACCATCTCTAACAAATCAGTTTATGACTTTCAACCAACTTTAAGTGATATTTTTACAAATATCTCTTAACCACAGCAACTCAGTCATGAACAGTGTTGGTCAAGTTACTTGAAAAAAGTAATCAGTAACTAATTACTGATTACTTCCCCCAAAAAGTAATCCTGTTACTTTACTGATTAAAAGTAATTAATCACGTAGTTACTTAGTTACTTTTTAAAAACACGATTTACAACCTGAATATGTGATAAAGCGATAGATCTTTCAGCCCAATTCTACTTGCATAATCCATCATACAAAATGTAATCAAATGGAAAAGTCTTAAAAATATAAAAAAAAATAAATAAATA